TTGGAATGATGTTCCAGGATCAACAAGGATGTTGATTCAGGAACACGTTGTACTTGGTGAAATCACGGTCACCATTTTCTTCTTCTTCTCTTCTGTATTGTGATATACAGCCAAGTGTTTATGCTGACCAAATGACTGACAAAGTCCTGCATACACCACCAAAGATAAGTCTGTTTTTTACCGCAAGATTGAGTTTTTGACATTTTGATTGAACATTACTTTAATTTTTAGGTCAAACTTTAAAAAAAAAAAAGGGAACATATGCATGGATAAACACATGAACGGTTCACAATAAGATCTATAGCATGCATTTACAGATGAATTTTCATTTTGTGCCTCCTGAGTTGAACTCCCAATGTCTATGGCATTTACAGCCCTGGCATTTTATGCTTGAGGAAGGAAAATATGATTTCCTGAAACCTCTGCTGTAACCTTTTCTAATGAGATCATTAAATGTTGAAGATGGCATGGTTTCCTGAGAAAGACCCTTTTATTGTTGTCTCTGCCGGGAAAGCATGATAAAATATGCCAGAATATTCTGCCCAATGGCCCATCGTGAATATTCATGCGTATGCTTGTGTGTAAACGTTAGCGTACACACGATTGTGGGAGGAATCCAGGCTGGGGTGTCACCGAGGCGTTCTGTGGACGGAGACACATCTGCGTCAGTGATGTCATTACTCGCTGACGAGGGTCATTGTGGTGCGCATAGCAACAGCTTTCACAGCCACAGACGGCTCCCCCGCAAAGCGCCCACTTGGCTGGAGGGGGAGCTGTCAGAAAGACCCAGCTGCCCCTTTCTATTTCTTTCGTTTCTGTATCAAAATACTGAGGAATGAGACTTGATAGATAGCCATACTCTCATTTACTCTTATGCATTTTAGTATGAGTGCAAATAGCCAAGCAAAATGGTGCTCTTTTGCCTCCTCAAAGCATTTGAAATATGGAAAAGCTGCACAAGTATTGTACATGCTTTGCTTAAGGTTTCATATGTATGAGCCAATACGTTGGCCACAGTCTGGTATATATGATGCACATTTTCACTCATTGCACTCACAACGTATGTGTAGATCAGTCATATTTCTTGTAGGAACTGTAAAGTCATTTACAGACATCCCACATAGATCCCACATAACTGCCAGCAATGGGCCCTACATGTGATCTTATCCGCTCTGAACTCGCTAATATGTGAATGAATGAACATGTGATGCTCAGGTGTCTGGACTTGAGACACAACAGCTTTACTGCCATTAGACAGGCCATGTAGGAAGTTCATTTGAACTTTTTTTCAATCACAGGTCAATCTAGGTCAGCATGCCAGGATTTTTGCTTGCCATTTTTGTGAATACTGTAACATCTGAAATGTGTGCACAGTTGCTGTTCATTCACTGAGCAAAACACCAATATTGTGAATTAATATATTAAAGGATGCAATTGCCAATGGTCTGAATAGTGAACTATTAGTTGGAAGCAACAAGGCCAATCCCAAAACTAAAACACGGGCAACCTGCAGATTCTAATGGCTGCATTTCTGCTATTAGTATTATTTTTATGCATTTGACAAAATGTATTGTTTGTCACATACTAAAGTGGTTCACTGGCCTTTTAGTACCTAAACAAGCAACAGAAATTAAAATCTTTCTCATGTTTTATTATAAAACAATATAAGCATATGTTTTTACACTTGCAGTATACACAACAATCTTTGTTTGACATTTTATATCACCAATGCATCAAATGAAACAGTTAGGACTTTAAAAACTTATTGTTGGCAAAGTTAAGGATCAACCAAGGCAAAAGTGGGCATCATTTTACCACATCAATTTATGACTATAAAGAAAAAAAAAAAAAAAGTTTTCAGCTTTTAGCACAACTTAGGGCAAAACAAATTAAATATGAATATTTTCACAAGGAAATGCTACATTGTTACAATATTCATGTATCACACGTATTAGAGGCCATATTTTAGAATCAGTCTAATTTAATTGCATAGGGACTAAGAAGGATTGAGCCACCAATTGCACTTATTAGCTACAGTAAAACTGATAGTAGTACAAAGAGAGAACTGACAGTTTACAACATACTGAAAAACAGAGTGAGCAATGAGACACAGTACTGTTTTTATACTTAAATCTAATATGAACATTCTTAGAACATTTAGGAATAAGGGGCCGTTCACATAGAACACGTTTCAGCATTGAAAAACAGAATGAAAAATGGAACGTGAAGTTGAAAAGTTGAACTACTTTTAACTTGACTGGTGCCTTAGTAGCGATGCTCATGACATCAGATGTAAAAAAACAAACAAAAAAAAAAAACAGCGATGCACTGGCCAAATATGTCCTTCCAACAAATAAATACAGCACAGATGATTGTTATGTGAACGGCCTGTAAGATTGTGAACTTGCAAAAATCCATTTGAGATCAATAATCAGTCTTTGTTCCAATATGGATTTCATAAAGGGCTTATCTCTGATTCTTCCACCGCTTTGAGGGGAAATCTGAAACTATTCAGTCCGCTTCCTTCCAAATACTGACGACATGCTCCTCACGATACCTTTGAACCCTGCAGGGCCCTTCTTGAGCGCCCTCGCCTCTCGGATGAGCTCAAACAGTTCGTGAAACACCATCAGCACACTGTGGTACGTCTCCGCAGCGGAAACCTCAAAAAACCCACAGTCTGCCGAGAGTGCCAACAGGCGGCCCTCTTCACTGGACACTGTACGTCTGTGCTGGAGGTCTCTCTTATTCCCCACAATGATGGTCTGAGCTGTGCTGGCCAGTTTTTGCTTGGCTTGTCGTATGCACTGCACTTGTTGCCGCACCACGTTGAAGCTGGCACGGTCACAGATGCTGTAAACAAGGATATAACCGTCTGCCCACTGCAGCTGTCTGTCGCTGATGTAACCCGACTCCTCTCCATTCTGAAACAACACATTTATACATTAGCCTACTTCTATTCACGTCTGACTAGCATGCATTTCAATTGTTGCTGGTCCAATACTAGCAACTATACGTGAGGTACTAGTTAGTACTTATTAGTTGCTAGCAAATATCCACAAATGTCATTAGTACATAGTTTTCAAGAAATATATATACATATATATATATATATATATTTATTTCCTAAGTACTAATTACAATTGCTTTTACTTTATACAATTAATAACTTATCAATAGATAAAATGGATAGTAGTTCATTTTAAGCAATTAATGTTAAAATAGCTTGCCATACTGTCATGCAAAACACTTGTAATCATTATTTTATCTCGAAATGTGCAAAAAGATGCTTACCTGCGAGCAAAGCGAGTCCCATATGTTGAAACAAATATCACGCCCGTCGATCTTGTCAGTATGGCTGTATATTGATTCTGTGAATGAAAATACACCGTTAAGCAAAACGAAGGCTATTTTACTGCAAATCTCAATGGAGATCAAGAGCAGTAAGTGATGATGTTTACCTATATCTCCATATTCTCCTATGAACCGCCTGGTTAGAAAGCGCACGGTGAGAGCTGTGAAGAAGAAGAGATTGGTAGTGCTCTAATTCAGACTAAATGCATAAAGACAACATGCAACATTTGTTGCAGAACTTACCAGACTTTCCAACGTTCTCAGCTCCAAGTAACAAAACGTTGGCCTCCACTTTCTGCTGGTTGCCTTCCATGGTTTTGCTGCTGTAGCGAATGCGTGGTTTCACTTGAGCAACCATTGGTGGGTAGTAAAGCCTGTTGGTTAGATTGCCACAGTGAGCAGGTGTTGAACATAGAGAAGCGCAGACAGAAAGCGCGTTTAAATAGGCTTGATATGTATGGGCGGGGCTTTCTCCAGCCTGACCAATCAGAGCGACGAGCGTCTGCTGTTTTTGAGCTTTAATTTACAGTATTTTTTTTTTTTTTTAGCGCACAGGAAATTTTTTTAATATTTATTTTTTACTTTTTAAGTTCAGTATTTAAAATGAATAAACGGTAAAAAAAAATGTTCAGAATCGTACATTGGAAAATATATGGAATATTTGGATGAAGCGGTAGGCAAGTTCCTTAAAATGTCAACAATACAATGTACACTAATTCACGATTATTATTATTATTACTACAACTCAGTGTGTATCACATTTCAGTAATGTTGTAACTTGCTGCTGTGGCTCCTGCCAAGGCATGACACCAATTCAACTAATGGCTATGAATTGCAAATGCCTCTAAATGACAAGTTGTATTTAGCAACTACTTACCACAACATTAAATTAGCAATTCAACACATACCCATATAGCCCTTCTTGAGCTGTCATGGCAAATGCTTTTTCATGACAATACTGTAGTATTTCAATAACTGCAAAAGCCCATTGCCTTTCTGCTTTAAATTTGCATTCATTTTTT